CCCTGACCCCATAACTCCATCCCCGACCCCATAACTCCATCCCTGACCCCATAACTCCCCACCCGACCCCATAACTGCCCCCCAGGTGTCCCCCAGATGCCCCCAGGTGTCCCCCAGGTGCCCACCTTGCATCTTTGGGTATTCCTGGCTTTACAGATGACCCCAAATCCTCCATTCCCCTGACCCCATAACTCCATCTCCGACCCCATAACTCATTCCCTAACCCCATAACTGCCCCCCAGGTGTCCCTCAGGTGTCCCCCAGGTGCCCACCTTGCATCTTTGGGCATTCATGGCTTTACAGATGACCCCAAATCCTCCATTCCGCTGACCCCATAACTCATTCCCTGACCCCATAACTCCCCCCAGGTGTCCCCCAGGAGTCCCCAGATGCCCCCAGGTGTCCCCCAGGTGTCCCCCAGGTGTCCCCCAGGTGCCCACCTTGCACCCCTGGGCATTCCTGGCTTTACAGATGACCCCAAATCCTCCATTCCCCTGACCCCATAACTCATTCCCTGACCCCATAACTCCCCCCAGGTGTCCCCCAGGTGCCCCCCAGGTGTCCCCCAGGTGCCCACCTTGCAGCCCTGGGCGTTCATGGCCGCCAAGGTGCGGCGCAGGGCGGGCTGGGGGGGCTCCAGCAGCTCCACCTGTGTGCGCACGCTGCTCTCCACGTAGGGCCCCACCAGCACGTAACTCTCGCCCCACTCATCGGCCGTCACCCGAGCCTTGGTCTGCAGCACCGTGTAGATCCCCCCCACTGCGGTTGGGGGGCGAAAAATGGGGTTGGGGGGGGTCTGAGGGGTACCCCAAATACCTGGGAACCCCCTGAGCCCACCCAGGACACACCTGGGACTCAAAACCCCACCTGCACTCTGTGGGTCACTCATAGAGCAGCACCGTGTAGATCCCCCCCACTGCGGTTGGGGGACGAAAAATGGGGTTGGGGGGTCTGAGGGGCACCCCAAATACCTGGGAACCCCCAAATCCCAATCCTGGACACCTGGGAACCCCCTGAGCCCACCCAGGACACACCTGGGACTCAAAGCCCCACCTGCACTCTGTGGGTCACCCATAGGGCAGCACCGTGTAGATCCCCCCCCACTGCGGTTGGGGGACGAAAAATGGGGTTGGGGGTCTCAGGGGCACCCCGAATACCTGAGAACCCCCAAATCCCAAAATCCAGGACACCTGGGAAGCCCCAGATCCCCTCCAGGACACACCTGGGACTCAAAACCCCACCTGCACTCTGTGGGTCACCCATAGGGCAGCACCGTGTAGATCCCCCACATTGGGTTTGGGGG